AATATTGGTGCACACAAAGATATTTTGGGAGTGTACACATACCTTGAAGTATGTGAATAAAATCAATTTTAAAAGAAAAAAAATGTGTCTTCACTAAACAGTGTGCTTTACATTCAAAACCATATGTCTACTTAAATGTTAAAATTCATCAGTAGTCTGCAAATAGTGCAGATCAATAAAATAACCAATATAGGCAAGCAAAAAAAAAAGGGTAAAACAGACTCATAAGAACAGAGTGGAATAAATGCCACTCCGAACATGGGAAATGTTGGGTCTTCAAGAGCCTTTAACCCCTTAAGGACACATGACATGTGTGACATGTCACGATTCCCTTTTATTCCAGAAGTTTGGTCCTTAAGGGGTTAAACAGAGAAGTAACCAGCTGACTGCCTTAACCCCTTAAGGACCAAACTTCTGGAATAAAAGGGAATCATGACATGTCACACATGTCATGTGTCCTTAAGGGGTTAAAGGGACACTATAGTCACCTGAACAACTTAAGCTTAATGAAGCAGTTTTGGTGTATAGAACATGCCCCTGCAGCCTCACTACTCAATCCTCTGCCATTTAGGAGTTAAATCCCTTTGTTTATGAACCCTAGTCACACCTCTCTGCATGTGACTTGCACAGCCTCCCATAAACACTTCCTGTAAAGAGAGCCCAATTTAGGCTTTCTTTAATGCAAGTTCTGTTTAATTAAGATTTTCTTATCCCCTGCTATGTTAATAGCTTGCTAGACCCTGCAAGAGCCTCCTGTATGTGATTAAAGTTCAATTTAGAGATTGAGATACAATTATTTAAGGTAAATTACATCTGTTTGAACGTGAAACCAGTTTTTTTTTCATGCAGGCTCTGTCAATCATAGCCAGGGGAGGTGTGGCTAGGGCTGCATAAACAGAAACAAAGTGATTTAACTCCTAAATGACAGTAAATTGAGCAGTGAAATTGCAGGGGAATGATCTATACACTAAAACTGCTTTATTTAGCTAAAGTAATTTAGGTGACTATAGTGTTCCTTTAATGCTTTAAAGTAGCTTTATTCTGAATACAAAATATCAGCAGTAAAATCAAAGTAGGAAGTTCAGTATATAAGAGGATGGGGAATCTAAAAGTCCAGAAGATCAGCAGCTGTTCTGATTCCTTGTGAAACTAACATTTCACTTAACACTGTCTCTCCTTGCTAATTTTGTAAGGCTAAACTCCAGTAAACAAAGTAAAGAGTATGCGGTTCGCCCCTTATTTGGGGGCTTTTTTCAAGCACAACACAGTGTAACACTGCCTGCACCGGCCTGCCTTCTTCCTATAGTGCATCCTGCTGCCATCTCTTCCCCATGAAAACAACGCGCACACACACACGGTCATCCAACTAATCTAAAAAAAAAAGTCATTCATTAGACCAGGCTTCTTCTGTTGTTCCATGGTCCTCTACTGATGCTCACGTCCAATTGGAGGATCTTCTGGCCAGTGAATAGGGGTCATCATAAGCACTCTGACCAGTTTGTGGCTATGCAGCCCCATCCGCAGCATACTGCGATGCACTGTGTGTTCTGACACCTTTCTATCATGCCCAGCGTTACATTTTTCAGCAATTTGAGCTACGTAGCTCTTCTGTGTAATCGAACCAGATGAGCTAGCCTTCGCTCCCCGCGTGCATTAATGAGCCTTGGGCGCCCATGACCCTGGTCGTCCTTCCTTGCACCACTTTTGGTAGGTACTAACACTGCATATCATGAACACCCCATAAGACCTGCCATTTTGGAGATGCTCTGACTCAATTATGTAGCCATCACTTATTTGGCCCTTGTCAAAGTCTCTCAGTTCGTTTTTGCTTGCCCATTTTTCCTGTTTCCAACACATGAATTTCAATAACTGACTGTTCACTTGCATCCTAATATATCCCATCCTGTGACAGGTGCAATTGTAATGATCTAACCAATATTATTCACTTCACCTGTCAGTAGTTTTAATATTGTGGCTGATCAGTGTAGATATACAATTAGACAGATATTACACCTCTGTCTTTAACCCACTCGCTGTCTTACGCCTTTTCCAGTCACTTCTCTTGCAATCATCTCCTTCTATTGCTCTTTCGTCTGTTCCGACTTACATATTTTGCCATCACGCCACTTATGATTCTCTTCTTCCTTGTTATTTCAGTGCTATAGGTTCACTTATAATAATGTGATCACTGTCCACCCCACTTTGCTCAGTAAATTTTAAGTTAAACATAACTCATTTTGTTTTCAACCTCTGCCTACGTCGATGTCAGCATCCGAACTGACGTTGCTTGCGATAATGTCCAATTCAATGCTTCTAATCAGATTGGATAACACATGCACAGCAAAATACTGCACTCCTCCAATCAAATGCTGCTATCCAGGACCAGGTTTCAATTCTGGAGGGGAAAGTGCCTCTAATGGCTGTTCGGAAGACATTCAACAGAATTAAAATGACAGGACCACTTTATTGATATGAAATGGTCTGGTTAACTTGAGCAGTACTTGAATACTAAATGAAAGAAAATTTACAAAAACATCTCTTTTCAATCACTTCATCCTGTGCCACTTGGACAGAGATAAGATGGCTGTACATGTGTGCTCTGCACATCTATTATCAGGGAAACCCTCCTCTTCTGTTTGCTGGCCACCTAGGGGAAAGCAATGCCTGCAAGGGCAAGTATAAAGGAGGGACATGCTCTGCACCAGAGCAGCAGATAGAAAGAGCCAGAATGATTTATTGCAGGGGATTTGGAAATGAATCTGAGAATGTACAGAGAGAGAAAGGACAGATGCGTTTTATTTTCATACCACAAAGCCAACATAAAGTGTTGGGTACTTTTCACCTGTTATGGAAAGTTTGTCTGTTCTTCCCAAACAGGTGTATGCATGATGGGTGTGTCTAAGTGCAAGTGCAAAACTCACCAAAAACATGATTGATGCTCTCAGCAGGAGACAGGGGTAACAGAAAGAAAGTAAAATTTTAGCTTTTAATAGAATTAAGGGAAGGAACACTTAATAAAATAAAAAAGAGTCAAGCCAGATGGTCAGAAAATTGCAAACCCATACCTGTGATGACAGGTTCATGTTAAAAGAACATGAGCATGTCCACATGATGCTTTATTTCTAAAGCGCCAACACTTTGCACAGTGCTTTACATGGGTACAATACACATGGGGTCCTAGCCCCCTGAGAATTTACAATTAACCCCTTAAGGACCAAACTTCTGGAATAAAAGGGAATCATGACATGTCACACATATCATGTGTCCTTAAGGGGTTAAAGTTGTATAATGCATGCCCATCTGAGACAATACAATGCTAATGAAGAGTATACGTGTGTATTTAAATACCCTGTAATCTTACAAAAGGGCTGAGCTAGCTTGTCTAATTATTTTCCAAACTGGGTGACAAAGTATCAGGTTTGTGTGATAATCAGTGGGACTGTGGGTAACTCGTCACACAAGGACATTGTATGAGTCTGTGCCCCTTTGCTCAGCTGAGGGGAAAGCCTGATTTACTACCACAATTCATATTCATGGGTCTGGGGAAATGTGCCGGGATAATTCCTATTAATCTCAGTCATTGCTAGAGGGCTATTCACTGGGTTAACTCCCATATCACAATTTTCTATCACTCAAGTGATTGTCCACAAGTACAATAATTATATTTTGTCAGTATTGTTTTTAGAAAATTGGCAGGGTCTGATAGTCAGAATTGGCAGTGTCTGGTAGTATAAATTGGCAGTGCCTGGCAGTCTGAATTGGCAGAGTCTGGTAGTCTGAATTGGCAGAGTCTGGTAGTCTGTATTGGCAACCCCTGATAGTCTGTATTGGCAACCCCTGATAGTCTGGATTGGCAGTGTCTGATAGTGTAAATTGGCAGTGTCTGATAGTGTGTATTGGCAGTGCCTGACAGTCTGAATTGGCAGTGCCTGATAGTCTAAATTGGCAGTGCCTGATAGTTTGTATTGGTAGTGTCTGATAGTCTGAATTGGAAGTGTCTGATCGTCTGTATTGGAAGTGTCTGATCGTCTGTATTGGCAATGTCTGATAGTCTCTATTGGCAGTGTCTGATAGTTTGTATTGGCAGTGTCTGGCAGTCTGTATTGACAGTGTCTGACAGTCTGTATTGGCAGTATCTGTTAGTCTGTATTGGCAGTGTCTGTTAGTCTGTATTGGCAGTATTTGACAGTCTGTATTGGCAGTGTCTGTTAATCTGTATTGGCAGTGTCTGACAGTCTGTATTGGCAGTGTTTGACAGTCTGTATTGGCAGTGTCTGACAGTATGTATTGGCAGTGTCTGTATTGACAGTGTTTGACAGTCTGTATTGGCAGTGTCTGTTAATCTGTATTGGCAATGTCTGTTAGTCTGTATTGGCAGTGTCTGACAGTCTGTATTGGCAGTGTCTGTTAGTCTGTATTGGCAGTGTCTGTTAGTCTGTATTGGCAGTGTCTGACAGTCTGTATTGGCAGTGGCTGACAGTCTGTATTGGCAGTGTCTGACAGTCTGTATTGGCAGTGGCTGTTAGTCTGTATTGGCAGTGTCTGACAGTCTATATTGGCAGTGTCTGTTAGTCTGTATTGGCAGTGGCTGACAGTCTGTATTGGCAGTGTCTGTTAGTCTGTATTGGCAGTGTCTGACAGTCTGTATTGGCAGTGTCTGTTAGTCTGTATTGGCAGTGTTTGACAGTCTGTATTGGCAGTGTCTATTAGTCTGTATTGGCAGTGTCTGACAGTCTGTATTGGCAGTGTCTGTTAGTCTGTATTGGCAGTGTCTGACAGTCTGTATTGGCAGTGTCTGACAGTCTGTATTGGCAGTGTTTGACAGTCTGTATTGGCAGTGTCTATTAGTCTGTATTGGCAGTAGTGATAGTCCTTTATTTTCTAGGATTGTGCTCATACTCCAGTTTCTCAGGTGGATCTGGTCTGGTTTCTGTTTATTTGCCCAGTGATGTTCAGATTGATGAGATCAGATGAGCTCACTGGGTTTTCAAGCTGCTTTTCCTTATGGTGCCCGCCCAGCTCCATACTGTCCCCCCATTTCCTCTCAATACGCAGCCCTGACCTCTTGTAAAGGGGTCTAACCTCGCCCAGAACACTGGTGACGTCATAATCGCGACGCCACTGTCTGTCGCATAGCAATGGTGTCAGAGCCGCCGTGAGCCCAACATTGCTGCATTGTGCTGGAGACCGTGGTGACGGGGCCCGGGGACTTCAGTTTCCGTTGTTGTGGAGATCGCTCACTATGTAAGTATTTGATAAATGTGCTGCTCGTGTTCTTTAAATTGATTTAAACATTTCTCTATATATTATTTTAACGTTATGGGTGGAAATACAGACATAATAAATCTACTGCAATTATTAACCCCTTCAGGACGGAGTCAATAGTGCACATTCTGATCAAAACAAAACGTAAACAAAAACTGGAATTTGTGCCATATGTCTGTTCAACAGTAATTCACCGCTGTCACAGTAAGTGCACCCACACTTATTATATATCATTTTGTTCAGGAGAAACAGGGCTTTAATTTATCATTAACTATTCATATATGGAACATCATTTATTATGATTAAAATTTAAAAAAATGTGAGAAAATAAGATTTAATTTTTTTAAAATTTGTATTTCTGTCTGACATTTTAGCTGTGAATGTCATAATACTGTTAGGTTTTACTTCAAAAAAATGCACATATTTGTATTCAGAAATGTCTCACGAGTATAGCAGTACCCCCCATTAACAGGTTTTATGGTGTTTTGGAAAGTTACAGGGTCGAATATAGAACGTTCCATTTTCAAATTGAAATTTGCCAGATTAGTAATGTTACCTTTGAGACGGTGTGGTAGCCCAGGAATGAGAATTACCCCCATAATGGCATACCATTTGAAAACGTAGACAACCCAAGGTATTGAAAGTGAGGTATGTTTTGTCTTTTTTAGTAGCCACTTAGTCACAAACACTGAATTAAGGGGAGATTAATTAATATAAGGTTTGTTTTTAATTAAAAAAATATAATTTTCATATCCCCCCTCCCTTCTTACCTTTGCCTGGGAGGAGGGACAGAGCACTGCAATCTTGAGGCTAGAGTTCACTTTCGTGAGATTCGGAGTGTTGCCGTGGTAACCGTGGCAACACGCCAAGCTCGCGAGAGGAGAATCCGGTGGAGCTGCAGGTCAAAACTCCCCCCGGGTCCTCTCTCCTTCCCCTTCCAGCTGCAGCATTACAGTGCTAGCAGGCCGGAGAGGGAGATCTCTGATCTCCCCTCCGGTCCTGCAGAGCCGGCAGGGGAGAGCAAGGCACAGCATGATTTTCTCGCTGCTATGAACATATGAACACAGTTTGGGAACCACTGTGTTACAGCATTTGAGACATTTTGGTTCATGCTGAATCTGGCAACAATTTTTAACATTACTAATGGTACATATTTTTTATTTTATTATGCTGCCCAAACTTGGACAAAATTAATATTGACAATGTAGAAGTATATCTTCCACAATAGCCGCATGCCAGTTGATGGGCTTTTCAAGTGCATCCAGTAATGTTGGGTTTGTGTCAAATCACTTAACACAAAGCTGCAGAAGGGCACTGGGGCATGCTGGCATCAGACCACTACAGTGTGTTGTACTGGGTATGGTGCTTAGACTTCTCTTTTAAAGCCATTCTAAGCACCATCACCACTACATGTTCTTTTTAGTGGATATGCTGTTAGTAGACTCATTTTTGGTTCCAATTGTTTTGCTCTTTGTAGGCTAATGAGAAAGACCCTTGTCTGTATTGGCTATATCAGTATCATCTGGCATTGATAGGCTGAGTATGGCAGCATATATATATTTTCGTCCACACAATTTACATTATATGTGAATTTAGTAATCTGTTGTAGATTCATGCAAAGAAACAACAACACTGTGGGTTCATGTACAACCATAAACTACAGCAATAACACCAACTTGTGGTTTGCCATTTTTTGGGTGTGAGTGTGGATTTATAGGGTCAAATATATGACTTGCAATTATGACAGACTTGTTTCCTGGGCCTATGTCACCTTGTTAAAAGCACACTCCAAACCCCTAAAGCACTTCAGCTTGCCGAAATGCTTTGTGGGCTAACTGCACATCACCCTTGTCCCAACTCATAAGAGTGATGATTTCAGCAGAAATTATTTTGACAACATGTGAACACCCCCATTTGAGTGAAAGAGAATAGTTTTCCAATAGCATTTTTTGGAGTGATTACCCAATTTTACGTATATGCTAATTTTTGCTAGAAAGGAAGTGGGACTATCATCACAGTCTCCCAGCTCTGGGCAGAAGTGTGGCGAGCGGGGACTCATTGCCGAATGAAACCATGACGTTTAATGTTTAAAAGAGCTCTCCAAACATTAAAACCAAATATCGTTTTTAATGTTGAGTTGGAGTTTAAGTGACACAGTCTGTCTCAAACTTTGGCAGTGTCAGTGACATCATGGTTCTTGCCTGTGCAGAAAAAAAAAAATCAAACATTTTATATTTATTTTATCACTACTAAACCTAGAAATCTACTTCACAATTTCCAATTAAATGCAAATCTGTTTTGATTACCTTAATTCTTAAAGGATTACTCCAAGAATTATAACCACTACACTGTAGTGGTTATGATACCAAGAGTTCTCCTGTAATGAGTCAATTTGATTATCAGCTGTTTGCCCCCATCCCCCCACCTGGGTCAGCTGATCACTTTCAGCCAATGCATGCACTTTTGTGCAACAAAAGTTCTGAGCTGGCTGATGACATGACATTAAGGTGGAGTTACACATAGAGGCTACTAAAGGGTTAATCTCTGTATGTGAATTGTTTGAAAGCTGGAAATACAGACTACAAGCACCGTTTCCATTTTAATTACCAACATGGGGGCTTGGAGTAACCCTTTAAACCTTAATACTGCTTCTTACACTAGCACTAACCATACTCTCTGAATCTAGGCAATAAGTAATTGCTGTGTAACCTAATCACAGAAACAGACTTCCCAGGATTTTAAATATTACGTTTATGTATTTGTGAGATGTTAAAAAATAAAATTCAATTTAGAAATCCACACCTCTCTAGCTTGCAAATGGTTGTCTTAGCTCCCTGTCTGTCATTGTTGTAATCCTTTGCACCTTGCGGTCAAAAGAAAGAAGAGGAGAATTGAAAATAAATGTGTTTATTTCTCTTTTCTACATTGCTTGCCCTGCCTTGCCTGTCTTAACAAGATTATGATGTAATTTTTTATATTAATTTAAAAGAAAATTGAACATCTAAAAAAATGACAAGTTCCTTTTTTAGGAATTAAATGTTAATATACATAATATTTCTTTAGTCTGTATCTTGACTTACTGAGAATCATTGTTCTAAGAGGTGTCCTTTACACCTGGAAGCCAGTATATAGAGAACATTTAAACTTATTTCTGTTTCTCCTCCTTATTTGCAATGTGTGTCGTGAACTAAATTGGATTGTGATGTGATGTAATTTGCTAAATCTTTGTGTTTTTCAATGTTTTAATTATTAGTGTAAATTGGGGAGAAGCAAGAGATCCCTTTCAATTTATTTTGAGATAAGTGAATATTGATAAAATTGTATGTTATTTATTATTTTTTTATTTTATTGACTAGTACCCATAATACCCCAACTTTCATCTTAATCTTCCAGTTTTCCATGATGAAGACCCTTCCTGGTGTTGGCGTCTTTGGTACTGGGAGCACAGCAAGGGTACTAGTTCCATTGCTTCGAGCTGAGGGGTTTTGCATAGAGGCACTTTGGGGCAAAACAGATGAAGAAGCCAAAAGTCTGGCAGAAGAAATGAATATTTCATTTTACACAAGCCGCACCGATGATGTCTTACTGCATCCTGACGTGGACCTTGTGTGTATCAGCATTCCACCACCTCTAACACGACAGATTGCGGTAAAGGCACTAGGTAAGATATGGCTCTGTTGAATCCATAAGAGTGATTAGAGATGTGTGCATAATAGGAGTTTACTGTGCTCCATCTGCACATTTCTCACGCAGTGATAGTTCCTTTTCTTCCCTCGTTCTGTTCTGTTAAGTACTCTCTCTATTTCTTTTTGATATTTACTTCTACTAGGGGTTATCCCCCTGCCTAGAGTGTACCTTGGCTGTACTCTAATTAATCTTTTCGGTGTCCAAAATTGCACCGTCTCACCAAACTCCTAAATAGGCAAGATTATATTTTTGCCCTGAGAATTAGTCCTGGCTAGTAGTTAACACATGACATTTTGAGTCCTGGTGTACACAGAGAAGAGTGATTCATGAGGAATACATGTTCGCTAATAGTATGGTCTGTCATTATGTGCTGCAACAGTTGTAAAGCACTGCACTAAATGTAAAATCTTCTGTTTTACTTAAATCTGTTTTGTTAAAAAAACAAACAAAAAATACACACTTGGCTAGTATTTCAAATGTTACTGTATACACAGTTTGTTTCTATTTCTAATTATAATTGTATTTTTGTTTACTCTTTCTGGTAGGAATTGGGAAAAATGTAATATGCGAGAAAGCTGCTACATGCCTGGATGCTTTTCTGATGGTTAAAGCTGCATGTTATTACCCCAAGCTTATGAGCCTAGTGGGGAATGCTCTGCGTTTTCTTCCAGCCTTTGCACGAATGCGTCAACTAATCCTGGAGCAAGGTTATGTGGGAGAGGTCCAGATTTGTGATGTGCGTGTGTACTGGGGTAGCTTGCTGAGCAGCCAGTACAGCTGGATCTGTGATGAGCTTATGGGTGGAGGTGGACTGCACACAATGGGTACCTATATTGTTGATCTACTCACTTATCTGACAGGGAAAAGGGCAGACAAGGTCCACGGTCTACTTAAAACTTTTGTGAAACAAAATGAAGCTATTACCGGCATTCGCCATGTCACCAGTGATGATTTTTGCTTTTTTCAGATGCAAATGTCTGGAGACGCTTGCAGTACAGTGACTCTTAATTTCAATATGCCAGGACCTTTTGTTCATGAAGTGATGATTGTGGGCTCAGCAGGCAGATTGATAGTACGAGGAACAGAATTATATGGACAGAAGAACAGCACACCTGAAGAAGAGCTCCTTCTCTCAGATACTTTGACCATGGACACAACTGGGCTTAATGGTTTTGAAAAAGTTCCCCCTCCCTATCTTAAAGGGTTGGCACACATGGTAAGGGCTCTTCGACTCTCTTTCCAAGATCAGGATGATAGAAGAACCTGGAACAATAAGCCATTGGCAGCTGCTGCCACCTTTGAAGATGGTTTATATATGCAGAGTGTAGTTGATGCTATCAAGCTGTCAAATCGATCAGGGGAATGGGAAACGGTGGAGTTGATGTGCGAAGAACCTGATTCCAATCAAAACCTGTGTGATGCTCTTCAAAGAAACAGTCTTTGAAGTGTCTGTATTATTTTAGAACTACCTAAGTAAGCTAAAGATGAAAGCTATTGGTATATAAATGGAACTCAAAAATAGGTGCTTTTCTGCGGGAAAATGATTTTCAATTCACTTCAAAAAAGACGTGAACTTTTAAAGAGCTCCCTATGATTCTTCAACACTAGTTTGTTATGACTCTGAATGTGACTGTGAAATGATCACTACATTAATAGTTGTTTTTTTCCCCCTCACTTTCAAAAGTTTCAGACTTTTCACCTCTTCTCTAAATGATATGCTTGGGGGGAGGGGGTTACAGTGTATATTACAAACTGAATAAGCAAATCACTTCCTCTAATTCTTAACTGATAACTGACGCCATTTCATTATTTGTCTAAATACTTTTTAAAGGTAAGGAAATAACATAAAGAAGTGTGCAAAATAACAGGCAACTTTTTTTTTCTTTTTCATTTTCTATTTTTATACTTTATGGAACTGACTTTTTTAATGAAATGTATAACACGTGGATTGTTTATTTATAAACTTTTATTATAAAGAATACTATATGTTGGTAGAAGAATGTTGCATATTAATAAATGTTTTTTTGTGCATTGAACTGTGAGCTACAAATTAAAAAAACAGGATATAGATATAATATAAATCTAAAATTTTACTTCAATATCACAACTTTTTGTATATTAATTCAAATCTAAATTACTCGAATGAACTAACCTCAGTATTTCTAGATATTTGTTTAAATCACATAACATCAATCACATAGAAGCAGGCCCGGACTGGCCATCGGGCAAACCGGGCAAATGCCCGGTGGGCCGCGATGGCCGTGGGGCCGAGGCCGGCAGGGAGATCACAGGATCTCCCCTGCCAGCCCGTGCAGGGCCAGCGCTACCCGAGCGCCGGCCCTGCTGTGTGCCTCCATGGGCCGGTGGGGAGATCAAAGATCTCCCTCACCGGCCCAGAGGCATGGAAATGCGGCCGCCGGCTGGGTGAGGGAGGGAGGGAGGGAGGACCCGGCGGAGCTCTAACAAGCAGCTCCGCCGGGTCCTCTCGCGGGATTCTGAGCGTTGCCGCGGTTACCGTTGCCGCGGCAACGCTCAGATCTCGCGAGAGTGAACTCTAACCCGCAGGTTAGAGTTCACTCTCACCACTGGGCCACCAGGGAAGCATGACAGAACGGATCTCCTTCCCCCCCCCATCCCAGGATAAAGGTAGAGAAGAAGGGAGGGGGGGAAATATTATTATTATTATTTTTTTTTTATTAGTAAAAAAAAAATATTTAAATTTAAATAAAAAAATACATTCACTCACAAACACACAGCCCCCAGACACAGCACCCCCCCCCAGACACACAGAGCACCCCCCGACACAGCCCCCAGACACACACAGCACCCCCAGACACACACAGCGCACCCAGACACACACAGCGCACCCAGACACACACAGCGCACCCAGACACACACAGCGCACCCAGACACACACTGCACCCACAGACACACACAGCACCCAGACACACACAGCACCCCCAGACACACACAGCACCACAGACACACTGCACCCCACAGACACACACAGCGCGCAGACACACAGCGCGCCCAGACACACTGCACTTACAGACACTGCCCACAGACACACACTGCCCACAATTTTGGCCTTTAGACACACACAGCGCGCAGACACACACTACCCACAGACACACACTGCACCCACAGACACTGCGCCCTGGCAGACGCACACGGCGCACCCAGACACACACTGCACCCAGACACACACTGCACCCAGACACACACTGCACCCACAGACACACACTGCACCCACAGACACACTGCACCCACAGACACACACTGCACCCAGACACACACTGCAGCCACAGACACACACAGCACCCCCAGACACACACAGCGCACCCAGACTCACACAGCGCACCCAGACACACACAGCGCACCCAGACTCACACAGCGGCACCCCAGACACACACTGCACCCACAGACGCACACAGCACCTCCAGACACACACAGCGCACCCAGACACACAAAGCGCACCCAGACACACACAGCACCCCCCAGACACACACAGCACACTCCCACACATATACAGCACACACATATATATATATATATATATAAAATAACCCTCAGTGAGTTAACAGACAAAGAAAATTAGAAACCTAGAATGTGACAGCAGATAAAAACACCCTCACACACAGCAACCCTCTTACATACACACACTGCGCCCCTCACACATACAATAAGCCCAAATATATATATATATATATATATATACATACACACACACTACAGCACCCCTCACACTGCACCACTACACACATTACGCTCCAGATACACACTAGATCCCTTACTCTATATGCACTCTTTATCCTCTATACACACACACACACACACACACTGGGTCCTTTACACAGTAGATCTCCTACACACACACTACATTCCTTGTCAGCAAACACATACAACATTCTCTAAACACACCCTCTCTGCAACCCCTACACACACTACGTCACCTATACACACACACTTCAGCCCGTATGCACACACTCGCTGCATCCCCTATAAAACTATGCCCCTATACACACACTCTCTACAGCCCCTAGCCACACATATTACACCACAAACACAAATTAAATTGACCTATTTACACTCTACACACACGCAATCCCACAAGCAGGCTCCAAACATATGCACCATGCACTTTCCATTTGTCCTCTGGTATCCCACTTGTGGAGACACCAGAGACAATTTAAAAGCAAACACAGTGCAAGCATGTTAATACATTTGCTTGCGCTGGGCAGAACAAATTCAGGGCCTTTTTCTAATGCCAGAGCTCTTCAGCAGGGCTCTGGGCATTGAACCAACATGCTCACTTTGAGAGGGGGCGTGTTGTCATTAGTGATGACAAAACACACCCTCTCTGGCCCCGCCCCCTTCTTAGGGGGCCGCTCTGATTGAAAAATGCCCGGGCCTAATTTTTTTCCCAGTCCGGCCCTGCATAGAAGTAATAGCTAATTAGAGTTCAGCTTTTAAAAAGTTAGTCTAGTAGATTGTCACTTATAATACAGTGTGCCATCCTATGAACTAGTTAAAAAGTAGTGTGATACATGGCTGCAGTCTATTATAGACTAACAAATTGAAAATATATCTGCAGCTACAGAAAAAATATTGCTGTAGTGTAAAGATAGAAACAAAGTTGCAACAAACTGAATAAAGTTATATATACAAACTGCTAGCATGAAAGGACCAAAGCTGATCAGCTGCTGTACAGTAATCAACCATACAAATATAGTTACATAGCCTGAAAAAAAACTTGCATCCATCCAGTTCAGACTTTCTCACATCTGTTTCTGCTGTTGACACACAAAAGGCAAAAACTAATTTTGGAATGCTTTCTAATTTTTCAACAGACAGGGGGAAAAAATCCTTCTCGACTCTAAAATGGCAGTCAGATCACTCCTGCTTGGTGACTCAACTGTTCAATTTGGAGAGGAATTAACTTTCTTGTATCATATGGGGAATGACTAGGGATATTATCAACCAATGAAAGAAAAATATACTTTAAAATCATCCTGTGAAACAGATTTTTTTTTTTTTTTTAAACCCACCTCTCACAAGATCCACAAATCCTTAAAGGACCCTCCAGGATGACCCATCATTTCAGGTATTGGATCTGATTATCGGAGTGTCTTGATTGCCAACTCCAGCCAGAAATCTAAGGGGCTTATAAGGGATAGCAACAGTGCCATCTTGAAAATATTATGGGCCTCCAGCAATGGAAGTGCAGTTGGCCCTGCCTACACAACCACTCACAGGAATAAAAATTTAAATTATCGATAAAATTAAGCTTATATTTATTGGTACCTCCAACAAATGCAATACATTCATACAATACACACACACACACACAGACTGCAGTGAGGGGTGCAGTGTCTGTGTGTGAGGAGGGCAGTGTTTGTATGTGTGAGTGGTGCTGTGTGTGTGTGTGAGGGGTGTGTATGTGGGGGGTTGTGTGTGCGTGAGGAATGCGCTGGGTGCGAGGGTTGCTGTGTGTGAGTGAGGGAGTGCATAGGGATAAAATATTTATTTTTATTAATTTTTTTTATTCTCTATTTTTGTAGTGCAGGTGATTACATACATCTTGTCATGCCCCAATAGCATTAAACAAGAAAGTCAGGGTACATAGCTTACATGGTATAAGGCAATGAAGTCATCATGCACTAATTTTTTAAAGGTATAATAGGTTTATAAACAAGCTTGTGAGAGTTATCTAGAATATGTTTACAGCATCAACATTCCTGATAGATGAGGTTATCTAGATACTAGGTGAAGTGTAGTAATACAAAAGATTATCTTTAATCTATTTCTGCGTAGTAAGATGTTGTCCGGATTGGTTGCCCTATCTATGTGTGTGGGATATGCTTTCAGCCCCAGAGAGGAGAGATCGGTCTGAGCACAGTGAATTGGTCATCAAGCTAACTGGCAGTGAGACTATGTAGAGGTGTGCTTTAAAGTAAGGTTAAGTAGTGTCCACTCAGCTCAGTGGTCAGGCCCCGCCCCCCAAGATTTGTTATTTTTATTTAAACATTTTTTTTTTAAAGCCTCATGTCTCCTCCTTTGGTGAACAAGGAGGGACACTGACAGCCCTTGTGGTCCGGTGGTAAGTAGTGATAAGTAGGCCCTTCGTTAGTGAGAAGTAGGACCTAGGAGGCAGTTTTTCCAGCGACAACACTCTGATAGCAAACATGTTTTCTTACACTTCGGTTTTATTCCACTTCATGATTGCTATCGCTAGCTAGGACTGGATGTTCGTCCCCTCTGTTCTTCCATTCCACATCAAAAGGGAGTATGAATGGTGGAACTCCTTTTAGAGAAATGTTCAATTTTTGCTAGGAACTCAGGGACTTTATGGAAGAGAGTACCCTTTTCCTACAGACCCATCATTATTTCATGCTTGTTGGGGGATCACCATCTCCAAAGATGTGGCACAGCAATGGGGACTAAATTTGCCCCTTATATGCCAACATCAACATGATTATGTGGGAACTCTTCCACATCTTCTGCGAGGGTAATCCCCATCGAAATAGGATTAAATGATATAGGATGTTTAGGGGATGAACACTTCTTTAGATTTTGCCAAGGGCCTGAACAACGAAGAATGAAAGTTACAGTTTACGAGGACAACAAATGATTTAGAAATAAATTTCCTTGACTTACATCTGCGAGAGGATCTTTAAAATCATTCCATTAGTTCAAGTTATAAAAAGTCACAGCGGACAATACTCTGTAATGGGCCAACAACTGTCATCCCTCTAATACTTTTAAAGCCATTCTGGTTGGGGAGTTTATAAGGCTCAGAAGGAATTGCTCTTTAACCCTCTCTGACCGTCTTGGGTTCCCTTTCTCCCAGTAGTTAGCGAATAATCCTTCCAGGCAGAGTGCAGACACAAGCATAGCATAACCCCTCACACATGAGCCGAGGCTTAATGCTGGGTAGAGATCTGTTTAATGGCACACAAAGCAACAGTATTCATGCAGTATAACCACTCCTGCTCTAAGGAAAAACAAAATGACAGTTAAAAGGTCAGACAGTGTTTGAAAATAAGACAGTTATTGGGTCAGACGGTGTTTGAATGTAACAGGCTATTAAGGGTTTAACTGGTGTTCTAGGAGGGGGGAATAAAACAGTTGAACTAAGTCCATAAAACAAGGACTCTATTCACACACCCCAAGGGCCATAGTAACAGGGCAAGAGGCTGGCAAGCAGGCCTCTCCAAAACCCAGTGGCGAGGTTACTTTCGCCACAATTGTTATCTTTGAAGTTCACAATGTCAACCTATTTAAACCCACTCCTTTAAGATTTGCCATAATTTATCACCCCTCCCCCCTGGTCATCATAGATAATTCTCTGAAGACTTTTTTCTGGCTACCCCATTTCCTCTCCTCTCTCACTCCTTCCCTCATTCTTGGGTACTTTAATATCGATTGTACAGCGCTATGGAATTTGCTGTCATTATGTGAATAATAAAATAATATCCCAGTCAACAACCCCAACTGCCCTGATGCCTCTCATCTCTCCGTAACCTCCTCCATTGGCTTTGCACAGTGGTCTAATTAGCAACTCATACAGCAGGAAACACTCTTGACCTCGTCTTCACCAATCTCTCTACACTACTAATATCTCCAGTGTTCCATTTCCTCTATCTGACCTGCTGACCTTTGACATCGGTATACCCCGTACCCAAATTACATCACCCTCACCACATCAGTCTTGCAGAAACCTCCACTGTCTTGACCTACAGCAATTTTCCACCAACCTCCAAAGTCTTCTTTCTCCCAAACCTCACTTGCCCTAACACTGCGACCTCTCTCTACAACTTCACTCTCAACTAGACATCATGGCACCTCCAACATTTAAACGCAGCAAGTGCCCCCAATTACAACGCTGGCACACCAAGCTGACCTGAAACCTCCTGAACGCTGCTGGAGAAAGTCTCACTCTGCGTCTGACTTTCTCCACAATAAATTTATGCTGCGCTCCTATAGTCTGGCTCTTTCCTCTGCAAAAGAAAACTACTTCAATACACTCATAACCACATTCTCCCGTGAACCTATTTCATGCTTTTAAATCTCTTCTTCGCCCTGTTGCACCTTCTACCAACTTGACCTCCACAAACTTTGCAACTCACTTCACTGGGTTTTTTTACAATCAGGGATAGATCTCTCTCCTCCCCCTACCAATACTTCCTCCAACCCCCCTCTCTCTCTTCTGTTCTAGGCTCATTTGCACCCACTACGACAGAAGAGGTTTCTGCTCTGTAGTGATGCACTGAACGGTTCGCTGGCGAATAGTTCCTGGCGAACATAGCGTGTTCGCGTTCGCCACGGCGGGCGAACATATGCGCGGTTCGACCCGCCCCCTATTCGTCATCATTGAGTAAACTTTGAACCTGTACCTCACAGTCAGCAGACACATTCCAGCCAATTAGCAGCACACCCTCCCTAGCAGACACTCCCACCTACTGGAAGGCATCCATTTTACATTCATTCTCAAGCTGCATGCTTAGTGAGAGGAGGGAAAGTGTAGCTGCTGTTGATTAGATAGGGAAATGTATAGCTAGGTTAGGGTATACAGTGTCCACTACAGTCCTGAAGGACTCATCTGATCTCTGCTGTAAGGACAGCACCCCAAAAAGCCCTTTTTAGGGCTAGAACATCAGTCTGCTTTTTTTTTTCTGTGTAATGTAATTGCAGTTAGTTGTCTGCCACTGCTGCCAGCTTCTGTGTCAGGCTCACAGTGGATATTGTGCCCAGTGCCACCACTCACTCACTGGTGTCACAATAGCTTGCATTTAAAAACAAAAAACTTTTTTCACTGTTATAGATTGAATAGCAGTTAGTTGTCTCAATGCGGGTGTGTCAGGCTCACAGTGGATACTGTGCCCAGTGCTACCACTCACTCACTGGTGTCACAATAGCTTGCATTTAAAAACAAAAAACTTTTTTCACTGTTATAGATGGAATAGCAGTTAGTTGTCTCAAAGCGGGTGTGTCAGGCTCACAGTGGATACTGTGCCCAGGGCCACCACTCACTCACTGGTGTCACAATAGCTTGCATTTAAAAACAAAAAACTTTTTTCACTGTTATAGATTGAATAGCAGTCAGTGTCCTTAAAGCTGGTGTGTCAGGCTCACAGTGGATACTGTGCCCAGTGCCACCACTCACTCACTGGTGTCACAATAGTTTGCATTTAAAACCAAAAAACTTTTTTCACTGTTATAGATTGAATAGCAGTTAGTTGTCTCAAAGCGGGTGTGTCAGGCTCACAGTGGATACTGTGCCCAGTGCCACCACTCACTCACTGGTGTCACAATAGCTTGCATTTAAAAACAAAAAACTTTTTTCACTGTTATAGATTGAATAGCAGTTAGTTGTCTCAAAGCTGGTGTGTCAGGCTCACAGTGGATACTGTGCCCAGTGCCACCACTCACTCACTGGTGTCACAATAGCTTGCATTTAAAAACAAAAAACTTTTTTTCACTGTTATAGATTGAATAGCAGTTACTTTTCTCAAAGGGGGGGTGTCAGGCTCACAGTGGATACTGTGCCCAGTGCCACCACTCACTCACTGGTGTCACAATAGCGTGCATTTAAAAACCAAAAAACTTTTTTCACTGTTATAGACTGAATAGCAGTTAGTTGTCTCAAAGCGGGTGTGTCAGGCTCACAGTGGATACTGTGCCCAGTGCCACCACTCACTCACTGGTGTCACAATAGCTTGCATTTAAAAACAAAAAACTTTTTTCACTGTTATAGATTGAATAGCAGTTAGTTGTCTCAAAGCTGGTGTGTCAGCCCTACAGTGGATACTGTGCCAGTTCACAGTGCCACTCATATCTGGTGTCATAATAGCTTGCATTTAAAAACAAAAAACTTTTTTCACTGGTATAGATTGAATAGCAGTTAGTTGTCTCAAAGCGGGTGTGTCAGGCTCACAGTGGATACTGTGCCCAGTGCCACCACTCACTCACTGGTGTCACAATAGCTTGCATTTAAAAACCCAAAAACATTTTTCACTGTTATAGATTGAATAGCAGTTAGTTGTCTCAAAGCAGGTGTGTCAGGCTCACAGTGGATATTGTTCCCAGTGCCACCACTCACTCACTGGTGTCACAATAGCTTGCATTTAAAAACAAAAAACTTTTTTCACTGTTATAGATTGAATAGCAGTTAGTTGTCTCAAAGCGGGTGTGTCAGCCCTACAGCGTGTACTCTGACAACCTCTGCCAGTTCACAGTGCCACTCATATCTGGAGTCATAATAGCTTGCATTTA